GCCGGCGCTCAGCGCGGCTGCGGCGGCCGCGAGGCGCCGCAGCCGCTGCCCCCGCTCACTGCCTGCTCCCACGCCGCCTCGTCCTCCTCCGCCAGCCAATCCTCCAGCCACCAGTCGGCGCTGGCAGGCGCCGTCACAGCCGCGAAAGCAGCAAAGGGAGAGACGGGCATGGCGGCAGGCGGCGAGGCGAGCGCCACGGCGGGCGCTGCGACAGGCGGCGCCGCCGCCCTCCACGCCGGCTGCGGCGGCTTTGCGCAGCGCAGCCGCTGGCCCGCGCTGGCGGCATGCCCGGCACTGCGGCAGGGTTGGGGGAGGGACACAGCGGCGCTGGTTGCAGGAAGGCCAAGGGCGGGCAAGCGGAGGAGGCCAAGCAGGTGCAGGACTCAGCTTGGGGCTGCCCGGGGGGCGCAGGCCAGCTGCCTGCCAGCTGCCGCCCAGCTGCTGCTCACCTGATGCCTATGCAGCTGTCGCCGCTGCCTGCCGCAGGGCTGCTGGAGCAGCTGCTGTTGCCGGCGCTGGAGGGCTCAAGGTATGGCAGCACCGCGGTCCAGCTCTCCCGGAACCCACCGCTGCTGCTGCCACCCAGGCTGACGCTGAAGGCGGGCACAGCCGCCGTGCACGGCGGCGTGCCGATGCCGAGCGGCGCCGTGGGCGGGCTGCCCAGCAGCACGCCGCTGCTCAGGCTCTGCTGGCTGTGCTGCGGGGTGCGTGGCGGCACCTGGCAGCCCTGCTCCTCAGCCACACGCCCCCACGCCGCCAGCCAGCCAGCCACGGCCTCGCTGCTGGTGGCGCGTGGAGCGGCCGCCGAGGCGATGGCGGGGCGATGGGCGGGCAGCGACTGAGCGTTGTCGGCGACCTGCCAGCCGGGGTCGCAGAATGAAGAGGCTTGGGGGCCATGGCGCCGCGGGGAGAGGCCGTAGGGGCTGCTGGAGAGCTGTGCTTGCTGTGGCGGCGCGGCATGGCGGTGCACGCGAGGGCGCGACGGCGCGGCCTGGGGTGTGCTGCTGCATCCGGTGCGCGACGCGGCGGGAGGTGGCGCCGATGCACAGGTAATCTTTAAAGGACATGCAAGCGGGGAGGTGGCACAGCCAAAACAAGCGACCCAACTGACGTGGCCTCTGCCACGTGCACCCATGCCCACCTTAGGGCCTGGACGCCCTCATGCGTGCATGCCCGCCAGCCGCTCGATTCACCCATTTTTGTACACTCGTTGGGCCCTTGAAAAGCGGGCCAACACGCGCTCCAAGTGTGCAGCGAGCTCCCACCACCTGTCAGTGGGCGCAAAACCGCCTGAAAACCAACTTCACTCGCGGGCCACGTGCCTTGATCGCATTGCAATAGTGTTAGAAAAGGTTTGGACGCACGGGCGGACCGGGAAACGCCTCCCTGCAGCTTGGCATTTTTGAATGGCGCCCTGCAGCAGGCGCCCACAGACTCTTGACTACCCCCTCTGCAGAATGCTCTCCTCAAGCTAGTGGTTACAATCATGCTCACAAATCATTTAGCACTCTTGTCACCGACAGGGCCGGCCACCGCCCTCCCCGGTCCAGCACCTAGGCAACGTGAGCAGCTGCCGGTGCCGGCGCCGTTGCTGCATGTTGTTGCTGCAGCCCAGCTCCACCCATCAGTCTTCTTCTGCTTCACTCCACTGCA